ACGATAGCTCGAACTGAGTGATCCGCTCGCCTAGCGGAAACTCGTCCACCCGCTGCCGCTTCGCCGCCTGCTCGCCGCTCCTGCTGGTGCCCGCCCCGTCCGACCCTGGCAGCACGTATGGCAAGCTCCTGATCCCGCGCTTCGGCCGCCTCTTCCGCACCCTGGGGTCGTTGTCCGATGCCCGCCGCCGCCGCCCCCCAGTGTCCCGCCGCTGGCTCCGCGGGACCTCCGTGATCGTCGCAGAAGGACGGCCAACAAACTGCATGTTCTGTGGGTGGTACCCGTCGCTCAGAGCGTCGGCAGCTCTACGGGCAGCTCTACGGGCCGCGTCGTCTGCAGCCTTCGCCTCCAGTGCCGGGAGGAAGTGCGGAGTGGGATGGACGCTCTCGGGATCGCGAGCAGCGTTGACGCGGTCCTCGTGCGACGCGGGCTCGAAGCGCAACCTGTCGGGGTCTCCGGCAGGCAGGTTCCACAGGCGGTGAAGCTCAGCCAGCGGTGCCGAGCCGCCGTCGATGTTGCTGACGTCCGTGAACGGTATGTTCTGTGGCCACCCAGCGATCTTGATGCCGCACTTGTTGACGATATCGGATGCATAGGACCGCGGCGCATACCGCATGCGCTTCTGCCGGCCGTTGGATGCGCTGCCTGGACGACGAGGTGAGTATAGTGGCCCCGGTTCCAACGGTAGATGGCGGTACTCACATACGCCGCCGTTAAAATAGCCTCGCAAGTCGTCCTCGAGACATTCGCGCGTCCACCTCGAGCCACCTCCGTGCATCCGTGGCAGAGTGTAGAAGATGATGAAGTTCGGCATCGAGGACATGTTGCGGCGAAGGTGAGTGCAGGGGGAGGTGGGCGAAGAGGGAGATGCTGACCCGAGCCGTGCAGAATAAATACAAGCATGCGGCAGGGACAAGTTGGCGACCAGTAAGTATCCTAGCGCCAGCGTAGATCCAGGCTCGAATTGACTCGGACGCTTCGCAGGTCGCGTGCGCGCACATCGACGCGAGCTGCACGCCCGCCTCACGGCGCGTCGGGATCATCCGCATTCGTGCTCACCCGTGAGTAGTCCCGACCGTACCGCCGTGTCGCGGGACGACGCTGACGCCCATTTGGCCCCCTAGTGTTTCGGACGGAGGCGTCGCATACGCACGGCCGCCGCGCGCGCACCCTCGGATACCCATCCGATCGGTGGGTGCCCGCTCGCCCGCATCTCGCCGCTATGGGGCCGCTATTTCGCGAAAATACGAAAATACGACATTCCGCGCGCAGAACGGGTGGTGCGACTCCGTGCGTGCGACGGCGGCATCGTTCCAACACTCTGCGCCGGCCCTGCGATTGTGGAGGGCAGCGGACGAGGTTTATTTTTCGGTCCTGAGACGGTCGAGATCGACCCGGCGTCGAAAGACGAAAAATGAAAGTTGTCGAATCGGCCCGCAAATGACAGGGCTGGTGGGAAAGGTTACTGAGCGCTCGGCGTCGCAAGGACGCGTGCTACGGAGGCGAACTGATCGGGGTATGTCCAATTTTCTGGCTTTGCCCCCGAAAACTCGTCGAAAGTGACCTGGATTCCGTTCCCAGGCGGCGCTGTGGGTGCAGAGCTCGCGCTGCGCCCTCCTGCATACGTCTACGCAGCCGTTTGAGCGCGTCGCGCAATTGCTGAGAATGGGGAAGGCTGGCGGCGGGTACTCGCATGCGGTGCATTGTGCCGGACTCGGCCATCTCGCCGCCATACGGCGAAACCTCAAACTCGTAGAAATCGCGCGCAAACGCAAGGGCGCGTGCGAACCGTTCAGGAGCACCCGCCGTCCGAATTCCACGCTCTGCGGCGGCGAACTGACCGAGGTACGCGCGATTCTCTCGCGCCCGTCCTCGAACTCGCCCGAAATTGACCCAAAATCGGCCCGCAGGTGGTGCTGTGTGCGCGGAACGGGTGCTGTGCGCCCGTGCTTGCGACGGCGCCGTCGTCCGCGCACGCTCCGCCGTCTCTGGGGCCGCTGGGGACGACGGACGAGGAGTTCCGTCTTGGGCTCGAGGCCGGCCCGCTGCGAGATGGCGAAATGCGAAAGTCGTCGAACACACCCGCGAACGCAGGGGCTGGTGCGCAATGCTCTGGGGAGCACGCCGTTCGAAGGACGCGTCCTGCGGAGGCGGAATGCGGGAGGTACGCGCGATTCGCTGGGCGCGCCCTCGAAATCGGTCGAAAGTGACATTTTTCGTTTTCTTCGCAGATCGCGTCGAGACGCGCAGAGCGTGCGCGGCCGTGCTCGCGGACGTCCGGTGGCCCATTTCGGAGGGCGCACGGGACGTTCGCGGCGGCACACCGACGGATCTCCGTGTGAGCGGGTACGGGTCATCCCGTCCTGCCTGCCCCCTGGCCCCCGATCCACTCGACATCGACAATGTACACTACGAAACGACACAGACAGTGTGCACGAGCTAGGACGACCAGCTTTCCACCCGCGTCCACGCACGTACAGGTGTTCGCGGTGTACCGAGTGCGGATGCGTTCACGCGCGTGGTTGTCTCGCACACGCACCGCGGCCATCATGTGGACGCTCTGGAATGCCCCACAGACTCGACTCGACCGCCAAGAGCTGCGCACTCGCCGTCGTAAATGTCGGTTACATCATGAGTGCGCCGCGTCGCAGAGACCTAGGCGGCGCGGAAATTGGCGCGAGCTTGGAAGATCCGGCGCGCACGGTGCCCGGACAGCCCCGATCACTCGTAAGTGCGACACGAACACGTGTGCATTTCTGAATATCCCCCAACGAGAACTCCTGTGAGGTTGGTGTATTTGCTGGGATGGCGCACGCACAGCGGCAGTGCTTTGCAGTGTTGCCATGTGAGCTGAAATTCATGGCATCTGCATGGTACATCCTGAAATAGACACCCCAGTCCGCTTGAAATGTTCCTGTGTGCGTGCTCGAGTTGGAAGCGAGGGCTCTGGGTCCGGGCTAATAATGTCTTGGAAGCCCTCGCTTGCAGGGGGAACTTAGGTAAAACATGATTGCATCCATGTATAGCTCACAGTGCACCCGCCCGTCCGCATCACAATGATTTGCACAAGTAGATCGCCACACCGGGGTTTGATATCTCCTGGCGGAGCTCATTCACACAAGCTCAGGCGCGGGGCACATACATGTGTACGCAGACTTGCAGAGCAAGCATGTCTTCAAATTGACGTGCCCATGGCCGCCTCATTCACATGCAAGTGGCAATACATAATTTACATGAAATGGGCGCTGGCTGGCCGCAGAGGCGGGTAGCACAGGGCGGGAAGGCAGCTGCTAGCGATGTGAATGGAGACGGGCAGATCGTGGGATGCTAGAGCTCAATCTGTAGATGTCATACTGCCGATACTCGCGAGATGTTCGAGCAACTGGAAGCACCAGCCGAGGTCGGAGTCGGCCCGGGGACGCAATCAAGGAACCGCAGAGCCAATATACACAACGGCAATCGGTAGGCAAAGGCGCAGGTGTCGTGTAAAGAGACTCTGCAAGGACGGCGCAGGGATGCACAGCAGCCGGTCAACATCATTGACATCCCGTGAATTGTACCACACATACTGGATACTGTCCCTTCTTGCAGAGACGGGCGAGGAGCAACCCCGCCGTGTGCAAGCAGCACCGAGTGCATGGCACTGCACGCTGGTCAGTCTGTGGAATCGTCGCCGTTGGACATACCTGCTTCTGGGTGCCTTTGATTGAGTTCAATTACCATTCGTACGCGAGGAAGCGCACCGCATCTTCCCCGCACGCGACGTCGTAGTAGCCCCACATCAACGCCGCCGTTATCCACGCACGGCTCATTCCGACGTGTTTATGATCGTGCTCGTCAGCGAATACGAATCGGCCGCACACGGCGAGGTAATTTCGGACTTACGAGATAGAGGCACTGCGCAGGAGCCGCCCTCGCCGTGTGTCTATGTCCTTGCCTATGCCGGCTGCATCTCCAGGGCACGCAGCCGACATCCGCGGTGTCCGGGAGGGCGCAATGCCCGAATTTGCGCTCTTCCGTGATCGAGTGCCGGGGGTGACCTGGAAGGCGGTGGCGCGTACTCGAGGCGACGCCGCAACGGCGGGAGTTGATGTATGTGAAAGTGGTGCCACCGCCGTATCCGCCCGTACGTGCGCACACTCGGGGTCGGCCTACATCGTCGTGCCGCAG